GAAACGTGCTAAAATTTCTTTTTTCAAATTTATTGTTTATTTTCTATTTCTTTTTCGTTTAGTAGCAAGTTTTCGGCTTAAAATTTAAATAATTTATTTATAATATATGGATTGTTAAAACAGATGTTCGATTGCTTAGTCGCAGAGAAGGTCAGATCCTGGTTTTAAATTTCTGATTTGTGAATATTTTTCTGTTTGACTTCAATTAGGGGTAGTCCTGCCTGTCAGATAGAGAGTAAAAAATTACGTCTCTGTTGAGCTTAGTTTCGTTAGGTTACGTATTCATTGCGGACAATAAGTGATTAAGTAATGTGCCTGAGTTAATAAATTGACCTACTTGTATATGCTAATTAGTTCTAATTATATATTTTAAGAAGATCCAGACTGATAAATAGAAATTAGTCTAACTGTTACTGGTTATATTATTATGATAATCTGGCATTTCTGATTTCATGTTTTTGCCAGTTTATCTAGTTTGACTGAACTTTTTCAATTTTTGCTGCATAAATTACTTGAATGCATTTTTTTTTTTTTTTTCGATATTAAACTGCTCAGGTTGTTATTTGCTCCACCTATAAATACCCCACCAATCTGTGCTCTCAGTTATAGTTACCTTTGAAATCTCAAACGCACTACACATCCGTCTAAACATGAAGTTCCTGATCGTCTTCGTTGCCCTCTTCGCCCTGGCCGTGGCTGCTCCTGTTGATGTTGTGGTCGAGCGTCAGGAATCCGATGTCCAGCCCGAAAGCTTCCAAAACTCGTGAGTGTCACATGTTGTGAGAATACTAAAGCACGCGCTGATCTTGACTTTTCCCAATATAGATTGAAGTTGAGTGATGGCACTTTAATTGAATCTCAAGGTCATCTCCAGAATGTTGGCACAGAGCAAGAATCTCTTGTCGTCAAGGGCTCGTACAGCTATGTTTCCGATGATGGTGTAACATACACTGTTAACTACATTGCCGATGAGAACGGTTTCCAGCCACAGGGTGCTCATATCCCAATTGTCTAAAAAGTGACAAAGTCAACTTCAAATAAATCGATTGTTTCATCAACCTGCTTGGTGTTTTTTTAATTCTTTCCTTATTGTTTAGGTTTATCTAATAACAGTTACTTTATCTAGTCCCAAGCTGGATTGCATAGCGGAATATTTGCCATTGCCTCTAGGCTAAGCTTAAAGAGAGCTTACAAGCTGTATTGCCACTATTCACTGGTGACAACAACTGATCGCATTTCAAAGTACAGTCGAGTCTCGATAATTTATACTAAATAAAACAAAATTTTATCCACTTAAAAAAATTCGTTCTAGATAATTCACGATAATTTGAATTTAATTGTATATAAAAAAAAAGAAAAAAAAAAAAAACACTGTTCGGCTTGCTATTTCGAATTATCGGAACTCAACTGTACCTGTGAATCACTTTTGACTAGCATTAAAATTTTCGCATTGAATTGATATGCGGCGACATCGTGGTAGAAGATAACGGGATATAGATGAGCACCGTTGCAGCGATAAGTTTTGAACGTTTCATTTAATCTGCTTTTAAATGCTAGAGCCATTGAATCATCTTCTGCAGTGGAAATCAATCAAAATCTTGTTGGCGTTCGTTGTTCAGAGGAATTCTTTGGCTTTGTGTATATGTATATGTATATTTGTATATTTTCTGAAGCAGCAACCAGTAATGCCTACAGCATCTACTTCATCCCTATCAACTGCAATGAAGGACATTTGAAGCAACTCATTGGGCAAGGGCAGCATTTTATGCGTTGACTCTCCAAATTATCACCTAATTAAATTTCCTAAATTGCATTGAAATATCACTTGATAAAGATTTTAATGGCTATCTCCGCAAATTTGTTTATCCGTTGACTTAACGGAAGGCGAAGCGGCTACAAACATAAACCATAGCTCAAAATCCATATATTCATATATGTATGTACATATCCACATTGGTTAATTTACATTTTATGAAAAGCATTTTGTTGCTGTTTGAATTCAAGTTATCAGCATAAAATATAAATTATTTATTTATAACATATTCGATTCGCAATTTGTATTTGGCGAGTAGCTTTTAGTGGTCATATGCGAGTAGGTTTAGTCCTGCGAAGACATTTATAGTAGATAGAGTCTTTAATATAAAATGGTGGCTAATTTGTAGTCTCGGATTTAATTGATTAGTCGCATATCCTGACCTACTAGGAGATGCTAATTAGTCCTATGTATGTCTTTGATACATCAAGTCCGAAAGCATATATCAGTAAAGATTTAACCGGTTATATTATTATCATAATAAGACAGTTCTGATTGCTAGATTTTCGATTTTAATCTGTCTGGTAATCTAGTATTTGCTTCTATTTTTGGCAGCATAAATTAATTTGCATGCAGATTTTGAAATTTTTAATAAACCTGCTGAGATTTGTTTCTAGCAATGCACCCACTATAAATACGCCACCAAACTGTGCTGTTAGATATAGTTACCTTTGAAATCTCAAACGCACTACACATCCGTCCAAACATGAAGTTCCTGATCGTCTTCGTTGCTCTCTTCGCCCTGGCCGTGGCAGCTCCTGCGGAGGTTGAAATAGTGCGCCAAGTATTGGATGTCCAGCCTGACAGCTACAAGGAGGAGTAAGTGAGACATCTATAGCGTCCTTAAGCACTTGCTGATTCTTGAGTTTCCCCAATACAGAACGGTGCTATCTGATGGTACTAGCTCTCAGTCTGAAGGTGTGCTGAACAACGTTGGCACAGAGCAAGAATCTCTTGCCGTCAAGGGCTCGTACAGCTTTGTTGCCGATGATGGTGTAACATACACTGTTAACTACATTGCCGATGAGAACGGTTTCCAGCCACAGGGTGCTCATTTGCCCGTTGCCTAAGCATTTGAAAGTTGCCAAGTTGAACTTTTAATAAATTGATTGTTTTATAAACTCTTTTGGTGTTTTCAATTGTACCAATAGCTATTATCAATCAATGATACAATAGCTAATACTACATAGAGTAACTACACTTAACATTGTCAACTGGTAATCTACCATGAATCAGTTGAAAATCCAACCAGAATACCCTCAATCATGAAGCAGCCCATCATCAATAGCAATAGCATTTTAGATTTTTTGATCAATACGAGCTGCTAACTAGAAACTGTTAAATCTAGGCCTCTTGCTTTGGTGAAGCGTCAATCAACCATCAGTCAGTCAATCTGCCTAGATATTTTGTTGAAACACAGTTAATTGAGATGGAAGAGAAACCGGTGGCATTTTATTCAACATGACAATGAGTTGGTTTTCGCTATTTGTTTGTTCGCTAGCGTTGCTTGAGAAATGATTTTGTTTGATCTTAAACCTAGTTAACATATGGATGCTGCATGACTGAGCGCCGTCTGTTGACTGCTGTGCACTGTGTGCCTATTGAACGGCACGGGGCAAGTGATCGCCCTCTGGCTGGAAGCCATTCTCATCGGCCACATACTTGACCGTGTAGGTCTTGCCATCGTCTCCCACATAGGTGTAGTAGCCACGCACAGCGATTGCCTCGTGGTCGGTGCCCACGTTCTTCAGCTGGCCCTCCTCATAATGCGCTTTGTCGCTTGTATCCAAGCTGCCGTCGTCGAAGATGAGCCACAGTGAGCAAGAGAGGAAGAGAAACCAGTTTTCATTTTCGTTTTGCTGACCTTGACACAGTCACAGTCTCCGCTACGAGCGATACTCACCTAAACTTATAGCTCTCTGGCTGCACATCCGAATCGTAGCGCAGCACCTGCGCCTCTTCCTGAGCTGCGGGCGGTGCTGCCTGCACCGAGACGCAGGCCAGGCAAACGAGAGCAGCGGCAAAGGCGTACGAGTATTTCATCTTGCTGATTGGAGGCTGTTGGGGCTTGGTGCTGGATGGCTAGTGTTGTGATACGCACAAGGAGCTTTCAGGCAGTGCATGCCCAACGTAAACGCAAGGTCCAATTTATAGTCAGACTCTTGCCAAAAAGTTCCCTTAAAAATTCCCTAAAAAATATATATATATTTGTATATATATTCATATATACAAGAGATATTTATGTACGCGCACTCGTAAACCCGTTTTCCTGCGACCAACCTTTATTACTTAACTTGGCTGGGTTTATCTTTTGGCAATTGGCTTTGATTGCTTGCAGCCAAACCTCACCCAATTATTTTTGCATTGTCTTTCTTTGCCAGCTAGTCAGCTAGGCGTGAATTGGGATAGCCACAGATAGACAAATAGACATATAGATGTAATCATTGCTAACGGCTAACGGGGTCACTCGCATTTGGCTCAAGTGCAAGTGAAATGCTGAAATCATTAAATCGAATCTCTGAAATTTCAGCATAGCATATTTTATCTGGCATTTGCAGAGCTTGTTAACGTTTGGCATCAACATATGTTGTTCGTTTGCAGCTTAAACAATTTTCAGACTCAAATACAAATTTCTAAATATTTGTTATTTGTAAGAAAATTGTAGACATGGGCTTAGCGACTCAAAGGGAGGGTAGAAAATTGGTTTTGAATGCATAATAAAATTGTGTATTTATATGATATTGTTTTCATATGATAATATAACACATTTATATATGTATATACTTTAGTTTACAAAAACTCGCTTTGAAAAAGATTTCCTATAATAAAAATGTCTTAATTTGGTATTGAAATATTGAAAAAATGCCTCCAGTATTTTGTATTATAAGCTTATTCTAAATTTCATATAATTTGCATCCAATTAATTGCGATCTCGTTCGATCTGCTGATAATATGCAAACAAAATACAAAATATATTTTTGCAATGCAAAATATTAGTCACTCGGCCGCAGCGATGCAGTAGAGTTGGAGACGTTGCCCAAGATGCTCGGCCTTATCATTCTGATGGTCAGTTCGATTTGCATTTGGCATTACGCCGAGGCAAATCGCAAGTATTTGGTAAGGGTAAATGTGTGGTTCGCCTCAGTTACGAGACGATCGCCTCAGTTACGAAGCACGCCGACACCGACCTGGAGGCCATTGCTGTGCAAGGCAGCATCCACTGGGTGGAGCCTAATGGCGTCCACTATGAGCTCAGCTATCTGGCGGACGAGAATGGCTTTCAGTCACGAGTCAAGCAGCAAGCCAAGCAGCTGCCGCTTCCAAAATTCGATCCGATCACTGATCTCATGTGTTAAATGCTAAAAGATGACCATAAATATATATCTACATACATATCGAGTATATGTTTGTGTATTGATTGTCGATTCCTGATAAGCTTCGCGCATCAATTTCCATACGTCAAATGAATTCTAACACAGCATGAAATTAGCATATGGCATCATGTGAAAAAAATGCTTATGCGTGTGTATTATGAATATTATCATAGATGACGGCAAGCCGCTGTTTAAATACCCTAACTCTAACTATTCGTCTATTTTTACACTGATTAAGCCCATAGATATGAGATCAATATTGTGGAGTCTATATGCTAGACTAGATTCACCATGTATGCAATGATCTATAGGGACTCTAGGAATTTATCTTTTACCCGATGGGTACATGCACAACATAGTTAATGGACTCTGGCTGAAGTAAGCCCATTGCTCGGACAGTTATGGCCGTTGCGTTAACAGAGTCAGCTGGCCAGGGCCGGAACCGGTTCAATAAACACGCTTCAAACAAAGACAGCAACGAAAGTGAGAACTGCACGGCAACAGCAGCAGAGAGCGGTAATACATTTAAAAATATAAAAATAAAATAAAATAAAAAATAAAGAAAAAGGCTAAGAAGAAGCAGAAGCAGATATGAACAGCAAAATCAAAAGTCAGCTAAAGGGCAAACTAGTGCAGCTGGGCTCCAGCGGCTCATTGTTGGGCAATTAACGCGCTGCGCGGCGCGGCGCATCTTTCGGCCAAACGCCTCATTTATCAATCGTTAACTGCAAAACAATCAAACGATGTCGAGAGTTACGTATGTACGCGGCTGATTGATGGGCAGCCAAGGGAGCGGCAGACGTGCAGACGTGCAGACGGCCAAGCTGCCGGCAGGGCCAGCAGGGATGGACAGCAGCACAGCCACTGTTGAATGTGCTACAGCACATTACGCATACGCCCTGTACAGCCAGCAGCTRCAGCGCGCAGCTTGTTCGTTATTCGTTTTTACTCTCCTCTTCTTGTTCCTCTTCTCTTTCATTTTATTGACTAAGGTCATCAACATACAGACACATTGAGCTGTTGCTCGTTGAATCTCGTGTCGCTTCTTCAGTTAACAACTGATGCCCGCCTCCGCCCCCGCCCCGCCCGTCAGCGGCAGTTGCTTGCATTGCAGGCTCAGCATGCTGGGCTTTTTTAAGGTCAGCTTAATGCAACGAAATTGTGTCACCTGCTGATAAATAAATATAAAAATGCCCGTAAATTACGATTAAGTTCTATATAAGCCGAAAGTTTCCAGAAATACATTAAACATGATCGTTAAAAAAAAAAGTTAAAAAAAAAAATTGTTTTATACTTATGTGAAGGCTGCTTGATCTTAAGCTGATAGAAAGAAATAAATATCACATTTTATATTATTCGTGGCATACAAAAATATATAATACTTTATCTGATGTCTTATGCAGCAAGCAAATTTCGGTTAAAATAAAAATATATGTAATGACCAATTTAAAAAAAAAAATAATAATAATAATTTTTTTTAAATTATATATATTTGTCAGCAATAATAAAATCTTGGTTCTTCATTTTAAATGCCCAAGTTACCCAAGAGCTTGGCCCTGGACTAAGCTAGATTCAGCTAGTTGAGATAATATATTCTTTTTATTTTTTTAATTTTGCACATTATACACTCGTATGAACTGTTTCCTGCTAAGTCTCTGCTTCCTAAATTAAACTGCAATTAAGCCAACTATAAAGTACATGTACATAAATATATTTAATAAATTTTTGTTTTGTTTTCTTGTGGATTTCTGTGCAAGTAAATTCAGACGTTGACCTATTGCCACAGTTAGGCAAACACGCGCGACTCTGCAAATATTTGCTAGCACATTTCATTATCACTTATCCATTGCGCATTATTGTTATCGTTATGAATGTGATCATGATGATGATCATGATTAGGCATTGGCAGAGGAGATGACTCTTGATGGCCAATTGAAATGAGATTTGAGTGTACATCAAATGCTTAATGGGTTTTGTGGCTTGTTCAATTAAGAGCTTAAGGCATACACAACTACATGTACGCACACGCACACGCACACTCACACTCATATATACATACAAATAGGGTGCCTCTTTGGCATAGCCAGAGCAAAGTCAACAATTATATAATTTGTGTGTGCACTAAAGACGATTGTTATGGCTACCTGACTGTGTGTAAGCGAGAGTAAGTCTCTCCGTGTGTGTGAGAGTGTGAGTGTCAGTGTAAGTGTGTGTGGGAGCAGTTGGGTTTCTGCCAGACGAACTACTATAAATAGCTGGCGATCTCATTAGCGGGTGCCACATAATTCGTTTGCCTTCAATTGTGACAACTGCGGTAGCGCGTCGTGAACCTCCGAATCCTCAATAAAGATGCATTCCATCAACGCTTGTGCCTTTGTCCTGTGCGCCTTTGCGCTCGTATCCAGCAGCTTGGCGGCGCCCTTGGATGACTCGCAGCAGGCCACAATTCTGCGCTACGACAATGAGAACATCGGCACCGACGGCTACAACTTTGGGTGCGTATAGACACGATGGGATATACATATGTATAGGCAGCTAGAAAGGCAGACAGGATATAGAGTAATGTGCCTTCCCTTTGCAGCTATGAGACAAGCGATGGAGTCACGCGCCAGGAGCAGGCAGAACTGAAGAACGCCGGCACCGAGCAGGAGGCGCTCAGTGTGCGCGGCTCCGTCAGCTGGGTGGCACCCGATGGCCAGACCTACACGCTCAACTACATTGCCGACGAGAACGGCTTCCAGCCCCAGGGCGACCATCTGCCCCACAACTAAGGGCCAAATCCTCCAAGTGGCCAAACACAGATCAGTATTTTCTCTGCAAAGTAAAACAGAATAAAAGTAAATTGTTAAAAATGAATTCAATTATTGATGGGCTTGAGTGGAGGTCAAACTGCTTGAGGAGCTTCGAGTCACTGAGCAGCAGATTAGCTCTATATCACGTAAACTGAATATTGACAATACTCTTACAGCTTGACATAGTTGAAGAGGAAGCAAAGACATAGACACGGCTCTAGAGTCTCAGCGCTGCTTGTTAAATACAAATGAATTGAAAGCGAAGTTGCCATCAGAGGTAGCGTAGATATTAAAAAGAATCTTCAAACTTTATACAGATTCAGTAAGAAGTATAGGCATGGACATAAAGCAAGAGATTAGAGATTTAGTATTAGAGTGTAGGTATTGATCGGCTCAACAATGGTATGGACATAGGAAAAGGCCGAATGAGTAATGGAAAAATACTCCTAAAACTTGGCATAGATCTAGGTAGTAGACATGAGCACAGGAACATAAATACAGTTATAGTAGTGAGCAGAGGTTTAGCAATCGAGTCTAATTTTAAACTGAAAAGTTAAAATCTATTTTGAATAGAGTAGAGTAATCCGTGTATATAGTTTCTGCTGTCTTTGCCTTGCTTGATAAATACTAAATATTTCAAATCTAATATGCCTTTATTTAAAGTAAACTTTCATTGAAACTTGAATAGATTTGAGCTTATGTCATGCTAAGGTCATAGAAAATCAAAGTCAATCAAGCTCTGGATCTACTGCGCTGCGATGCAACGCAAAAGCAATTCGCAGTAGATTTATCATAGCTAAATAATGACAGATCAGTGATATTTTGATTTAGCTGACGTTTTTATATTTTTGATTTGTTCTTTCTTTTTTTTTATTATTTATTTTTTGTTTTTAGCATTTGTGGAATGACAATAATTGATTTTTATTTTGTATTTTGTATGCATTTGGCTGTGATGCCCAACCAATGTGTTAATCTGTAATTAAAAAGTATTTTATTGAATTTGTTCATTAATTTGTTTACTTAGCTTGCGTTGCGATTTCTTTTTATTATTATTATTATTATCTTATTTTGTTGGCGATTAGGATAGGTTTAGAGGCGAGAATCGGATATAAAAGCAAACGGCGTTGCGGTCAATGGGTTAGTAAAGTGCAGTCAAGTGTTAACCGAACATGCAAGGCTCTACCCTGTTCTTTGTTGTCGTCTGCCTGGCGGGTAGTTGCGTGCTCGCACTGCCCCGGCCAGACGATGCGCAGGCGGAGGTCATTCGACTGGAGACGGACAACAATGGCGTCGACAAATACTCATTCAAGTGAGTTCTGATTACATTGCGCATGGGAGCTCGATAGATATACATAGATCCTTCCACTTGGCAGCTACGAGACGAGCAACGGCATTGTGCGCAGCGAGGAGGGCGTGCTGAAGCCGGGCGTGGGCGATGCCGAGGGCGTGCTCACTGTGTCCGGCTCCAGCAGCTGGACGGCGCCGGATGGCAAGAAATACGAGATTACCTTTACGGCTGACGAAACGGGCTATCATCCCACCATCAAGCTAGTTGCCTAGACACTACAACGGATCCCAGCGGAACACCACGAAAGACACAACACCAAAAATATCAAACAGTTGAAAACATTTTTAATTAAAATACAAAAAAATAATGCAATTGTTCCACTTGAGTAAAAAAGAAAATTTAAACTTAAAAATTAAATTTAATTTTAATAAAAATAAAAAGCTATGCAAATTATATATATTTAATCCGAATCAGTGTAATAATAACTGCCTATATGCATATACATACATATGCATATTGAGCATTGTAGATAAGCCAAAAGCTATGCTAATTATTCTTTTATTGAAGATGCAAATCGTCAAATCACAAATGCAAATCAAATAGATCTGATGGCTACTCCGGCATTTACATAAAAATCGATGCTCAAACATATGCACATATATTATCAATGCGAATACTCTTTAAAAATGGGCATTGAGGGTAAACGCATTTTGAGACGCTTCATATTCCGTTAGTATAGTTTTTATTGTTTATATGTTTAAATTTGTTGATAGCTGCTAGGATAGAGTAACTCCTAGTTGAATTAGCTTCTTCCATGATCTCAAACAAACAACTATAAATAGCTGCCTGCTCCATTAGTGGATGTCATACAATGCGTGACCTTCACAGCTGCTGTGAAGTCTCGTGCGCTTCGGAATATTCAGTCCGCCGGGTGGTACCAGATAGCCAGTAATGGGATAGATATTCCTAAATAGAACTGCTCTTTCAATCTAGGTAATATTCTATCTGTATATATTATGGAGGGACTGGCTCGCCTTCTGGCCATTCAAACATTGTCTCAAACTAAACTGAAATTCTCAAAATGCTATATAAAAGAATTCCCCGCTAGATATAAATACATTTTGAAAACAAACAAAATAAAGAAGCAAGGAAAGTTATAACCCGGATCAGTGTGCTAAATAACCACTTTTAGTTTCTATGTAGCTAGATAACTGACCGTGTATATGCGCTAGAAGTTATGCTAATGGCTAGATTTTTGATTCCTAATTATTGATTTGCATAACGTGTTCTAGGTCTGAAGCGAAATGAAAAGTATTACGTAACACTGGCTGGCTGATGGCTGGCTGGGCCGCATCATAAAAGCCGAAACTCGATTTGCATACATACAAACATACACACGCATACATATATAGTAGGTGCATATATATTATAATTTGTATTATTGTTATTTTCTTTTTCCGCGGTCTTCTTCTTCTCGTTTCACGCGTACGCACCGTGCTCGACCTTCGCGTTAATTTTGCATCATCAACGGAATTCGCAAAAATTTGTGTATGTGAAAAAACGAGTTTTTACTCATTTTTGGTGGCAATTTGGTTTCTTTGTAATTAATAGGTACATAATGAAAGCTATGCATCCACAATTTTTGGGCAATTAGCAGAGAGCAGCGAATCAAAATCGAAAATCAAAGATAAAAATTAAAAAAAAAAAAAAAAAAAAAAACATTTTTCAAGGTCAATTTCACAAGCTGTAAATATGTATAACCATAAAAGTTGAAATACGACTGATGTGAATGTGTTTCAGATGATACTAATTGAACTGTCGGAAATAAGCTGGAACATTGCTCAACACTGGTTAGCTAGCTCGGAGTTTAGCCTTAGCTAACGTAAACATATTCCTAAAGCCATAAAGTCAATTCAAATTGTTTTAGATTCTACAAAATATTTGCATAAAGATCAATAACCTTTTTCTCTATATATATATATTTTTTTTTTTTATTTCTCAATCATTTTTAAATTCCTTCTTTTATAACCCAATTATAAACTGAAAAAAAAAAAATAAATAAATAAAATACAAAAGAAGCCAAAATTGTCTTTAAGATTAGCCAGCTTTGTAAAAATCTCTCATATAAAATAATAAGCACTTGAGTTCACTTTGCAGCATTAAACAAGTCATGCACAACAAATCAAACAGAAACAACAAGGCTTCAAGCTACAGCAACAATGTTGACATATAGCCAACTGCAACAAAGTATAAAGGTTTGGGTCAGCTGTGAGCTTCGATCAGTCGCAGCGAGTGCTTCGATGCGCAGCAACCTGTTTGCTTTGATTGCTCCATTACGATTAGAGGCAATTGGTGGATATTGAATTACCCTAGTTTCGTATGGCGTGAAGCACTTACGCCGATAGATCTAATGACCACATAGTTATGCACACTTAAATGGTGTGAAGAACTCAAACTAAATGAGTGCGAATTGATCGAAGATGGATGCAAATCTATGCAGATAGCTGCATGAATTTGAGATGCAAACTCCATAGACATTTTAACGATATGCGTGTAATAATATGAATATAGATATATATATAAAGAAATATACGTATATACATATCTGTATAACATCTATATATCTATCGCAAAATATATGATGATACATTGATACAAAATGCAGATAACTAGCTCTATTCAATTAAGAACCGAGCTTTATTTATGTATTTAAAGCCTTACCTATTGTTTATCCGCATTTAACGGTCAGAAATAACAAAAGAAAAACTAAATCGAATTAAATTTGCCACATTTTGTCTCTCAAATTCACGACAAATAATGGAAGAATAAAAAGTTCATCTGAGACAGACTATCAAATAAATGAAATAAATATTACAGGGTATTTGTAGTTCATCCCACCACCTATAAGTATGTGTCAAGTTGCCATAGCTCGCACTTGGCAATCAAAAGCCAAGTTCAACTTTTGGGCTTCATTTTAGAAACACAATCAAAACAAAAGACTTAGGCAACGAACTTGAGTATTTTTCATTGCATAATTTTCGGCAGTTGCAATTAAATCAAAATAATGTTGCTTATTTAATATGTTATTGAAGTAGCTGCAGTTGCAATCTATATGCAAATGAAGCGCACAGAAGTGCGCTCAAAATATACCTTGAGCTTGACAGCAATATTTTACGATACAAGAAGATAACTGACAGCTCACTCGATGCATCTTCGCAGCATCCGGCAAGTGCAACGCATCTCAGGACAGGCTAATTAATGATGCATGCCAATCGAACTCTTCCTCATTGCATTCACATTGTTGACAACTGAGCGCGGCATCAATGGGCAGAGCTGATAAATCATATTGAGCGTCTATTTATAAAGCCGGCCAAATAGTCTTCAATTAGCCAATTGACAGAGAACGCGTTGCCTACTCAGTCCTCGCAGGTGCCAATAAATATAGTTATTACCTGATTCATGTATCTTCCAATTCGCTACGAACTATGCAAATCAATGGCATAATGACAACTTTTGAGAAATACCAATAATTATTTATACTGGAGTATATGAGGTGTTCTCTCAATAACAACAACTTGTGTATACCCTGTAAAAATTTAACATTTTTAATAGGAAATTACTTGTAATTATAAAAAAAAATTAAATAAAATAAAATTGAATTATAAAATGAAATAGAGCTATATAAAGTATAAGTTTAATTATATTAATTTAAAAAAATATATTTTAAAAATAAATATACACTAAACAAAAATATAGAAAAATTTCAAAAAATATATATACAATGAGAAGGAAAATGTATTACCTATAAAATAATGCTCCTAAATATTGTGAATTATTTTATTATTATTATTTTTGATAGCTTTAATTATATACATTATATTTTATATAAATATTGACCTCTTTTGAATTTCCCTACTTTTTGCAAAACCGACTTTATAGGCTTTAGTCCCGATTCACATCAACAAACCATCTAGAATTCAGCATTTCAGAGCTGGTTCTAAACATGTTCACAAATATTTCAAAGAATGAAAGAGATCATAAATATCTATATACTCAGTTTGTTTATTATATCTATATCTACATACATATTTTATATCTCAAATCTGAAATCTTATCACCTTAGAGTCTGCCAACTGATGAGTATAAACAAACAAATTATCAAAGGGTATTCAGTGAGCAGAAGCCAGGCATGAATGAGGTAGCTGAATTGCTAACTCACCCATACACACACGCGCGCACGCACACCGACAATATACATACAATACACAGCAGTCTCTGTAGCTGGCTCATCCAGCTGTAGAAGCGGACAATGTTTTATAATGTTTACCAAATATTATTTAGTTTGTCAATTGGTCGACGAACATCGTGGGGTGTGTTTCAGCTTGTCGCCTGCTCAGCCGAGAGACGCGTCGCATAACGGCACAGCCACGCATTAATTAAATTTCAAATATAAAAATAAATTATAGCAATATATAAGCTGAGTTTAGCTAAAAAAAAAAGTCAATTAAAAGTTAAATAAATTAAAGCAGCTGCAAAATGAGCCAAATGTTTTTGGCACTCGCTTGTGCAGTAAGTGTTCAGTGTGTGTGTGAGTGTGTGAATTAATTTATAACTGTTTAATTTATTTAAGCTGCTGACTTTATTGTGCTGTCACAGTCTGCTGGCAGCCACTGTGCGTCCCTACAAGTTCGGCTTCACCATAGAGGAGCAGCAGCATCGGTCCGAGAGTCGAGGTGAGCAGCAGCAAAAGGATTAGTTTAATTGATTATTTAATGTGCAATCAATTGACCCACATACACATATATACAGATGTATGTGTATATATGTAAATTGAGCTGCATCATGCTGACATAAAAGGCATAACTGGCCATTGTGCAACTGCCACAAACCGAGACGCAACTGCCCCAACGGCTTGTGCAATACACGTTTAGAGGTCTCTAATTGCTGCAGCTGCTGACACCCGACGTGCTGCGGGTCAATATCAATTGAAATGCCTCAGCTCCACAGCTCCCCAACTCCACAACTCCCCAAGTCTCAGTGTTGGCCCCAACTCTGTCTACAGCTACAAAGGCTGCCGTTTTGTTTTGTCTGCTTTTCGAATTGGTAATAAAGTTTTTCAAAAACTTAAGAACCCCTTCAATTAGCATAACATGTAGAGTCAGCGGTGTTCCATAGCATGTCTTGACATATTTATGGATTTTGATCGTTATTTTTATCGTTTTCATATCGTTTTTAATACGAATTCAAATGGCCGAAAATCTCAATATTTATAAATATATATTCCTCGGTAAAGCAGCCAACATCAAATGCCAGAGTTGAATGTGTTAGGAAGCGCGCACAGACAGACAAATCGCTTGAGTAACTTGCTGTGCACGGTCTATGGAACGCATTTGCATTTGCATAGAGAATGAATTATAGTTTTGGAATAGTTATAATTTTAAATCGTAATCGTTATTAATAGACGTGGGAGCATTCTTGAGGGAGTTTTCTTCTATAGGTGTTGGAAATAACGGTGAAGCTGAAGGTCAATATATTTTTATTTTTCATTATCATTTAAAACAACTGTTTCAAATCCTAAAAATATTACACAAAATAAACAGTCAGGGAAAATATAAAAAAATATAAATTATAGATCAAAATATATTAAAATGAAAAAGAAAATATATATAAGACAATAGAAAAGTTAAATATAAAAAAATTTAAAAAAAAAAATATAGACATAAAAATATGAAACTAGTCAAGCTGATTTTTAGGTCGAAACAAATGTGCAAAACGCCCAAATTTAGCTCAAAAGGCATACATGATTTAATTTAATAGCTGAAGGTCGACAGCCTTTCTGATCAATGACAATGGCCCGGGAGTAGCTATCAATTATTTCAATTCAGCAGTTCTGATCAATACAGAGACTCTGCCGCATAGCTATATCCTATGGGTGCAGAGTACATATACATATATACAAACAGATTTTTGGAATTTAATTAACATGAATATTATTAAAGAAGAAGTGGCTCGGAAGCCTAAAAAATACCAAACGAGACTATGAGATTCCTGAACATATAAGAAACATAAAGATAGAAGATAAGTAACTCAAAACATTTGAATATCTAAGAATATCTCTCACTTTTTATATACATAGCTACTAAAGTATCCCATTCCTATTCAAAATCTTTACAATCAAGCAAACAAAAAAAAAAAAAAAAACAATATTATTTTCTGCTAACTTTTGATATTTCAAGTGACATTTGAATACCCTATATACTAAGATCTTACACAGGCCTTAACGTCTGAGTCGGCCATAAAGAATTGACAACCGATTATAGACATTGAAATAATACAAACAATCGCGCAACAGGCATTAAAGCGTTTAAAGAACGCGATCGGCGCTCGATAAGTGCGAAACGAAACTCGTTTAGGCTCGCCGTGAGCGCAACAAAAGCAAACCCAAACCAAGACAAACTGACTGTGTCATGTGCTGTACAGGTGGGTGGCTTTAGTTGTAGCAGGATGTAGATGCTAAGTTTTCAGACTGAGCATAACTCTCGACATATGTATATTCGCCCCCCATGCGCTTGTGTTGACAAAAGAAGCAGCGGCAGAGGCAGATAACAAGATGACGATCAGCATCATAACACAACGGCTTATTAGATGATTATCTTTATAGCCGAGCTTCAGCGCCTGTTTGGCTGGTTTGTCAAACGAATTATGAAAAAGAATTGAACCAGTTATGCTTTCTGAGCTCCAATAATGAAGGTAATTTATGGAATGTTGTCACAATGCCCTGTACCTGATACCCTGGAATACTACTAACCTTTACTTCAAGTGTTTGCCAAACTGTTGTAAAAATTTTAAATGATATTCCTGATCGCTATCGATTCTCCGTGAAAGTCTGCAGAATATTTTCTTATTTTTGTAGATCATTCAGAATATATATCGCGAATTATTAAGGTAATATTAGTTATATATATATAGTATACAATATAGTATATATACTATATATCGTATACTTTCCAATATGTTTCCCCAAGAAAAAATACGATAAATATCGATAACACATCATCGTGTGCTCTAGTATTACAATAGCATTACGATTTCAAGGGAAAGAGAATATAGTTGATCCACCAGCACTCGGCAGCTACAACTTACAGAGCATAAGTCGGTTAATCACTTACGACTAGGCCGGCTTAACGCGCCTATGAAATGTTAATCAGTTTGTTTTCCGCCCTTTTGACAGACGAGAATGGAATTGTAATGGGCGAATTCGGCTTTATCACCGCCGATGGCATCTACCATGTAACTGTCTATGCGACTGACGAGAATGGCAAATTTCGCATCATCTCCATGAAGAACTTTCCGTATGCGGGTCCCAAGGCGCCCAGTAAGTATAGAAGAAGAAGAGTGAAGTGCTCCACTTGTGGAGTCTCAGTTCAAGAGGCCCCTCTCTTTGCTAGGACTGCACAATTTATGTTTGCTCATAATTTATCTCACTGACAGAGAGCCCGCCGCCCACGACGAGCACGCAACGCACCCCGACGCCTGTGACCAAGCACAATTTCCATACGGTCGCCTGTTCGGGCTGCTTCTTGGGCAACTCCTCGCCAGAAACGAAGAGCAACCCTGCGAGTGCTGAAGGCAATCGCAGTACGAAAAACGAGATACGTCCGCTCTCGCAGCCGCTGTCCCCGGCGGCAGCCGCTGTGCCAGGTGAGCAGTTCATAGGTCACACGCACACACAGACACGCACACAACAGACACACACACAGAGTGGAGTGCTTGGCCAGGCGATTTTGGAGAATGCGGATGCTTTGCAGGAGGCATCCGTACATCTGGCCATTCTAGCTGAGCACCCGGATTCGATTAGCTCTCAGCTGACACCAGGAGCAGCACCCACGACTGCCACGCCCACAGATGCGACGACCACACTAGCACCGGTGGTGGTCAATGCGCAAACTGTGGCCTTATCGCATGCCATTGCCAAGGTGCAGGGTATGCTGGTAACGAGCAGACCCAGCACCTCCGCCTCAGCGCCGCTGCCACAGCATCTGCTACCAGAGATCATTCTCAGCTCTGCGGTAGAGCAAGTTCAGAAGCTGGCAAGGATTCCGCTTGCTGCGACGGGGCCAAAGGACTTGGCTAATTTTGCCTTTGGACCACAGCCAGGAAATAGMCAGCAGCAGCAGCTTCATGGAGCTCAACGCCTCAATGAGAACGTGGTGAAGTCCGTGAAACAGTTGGTGCTACCAATAGCCCATAAGACAGTGGAGCGCTTGACCAGGCTTCCGCCTGCATCAACTAAAGCCAAGGATTTGAATAGCTTTGCCTTTGGTCCACAGCCAGGTAATCAGCCGCAACAGCAGCTGCTGTCCAACAAGGCGCTCGAGGCTCAACGCCTCAATGAGAACGTGGTGAAGTCCGTGAAACAGTTGGTGCTGCCAATAGCCCATAAGACGGTGGAGCGCTTGACCAGGATTCCGCCTGCATCAACTGAAGCCAAGGATTTGAATAGCTTTGTCTTTGGTCAACCACCAGCGAACAGGCAGCAATTGCCGTTAACCAAGGTCGAGGCGCAGCTTCCCAAAGGAAATACGTTGCAACCATTTGCAAAAGTAGAGCTGCTGCCCAGGATTACGCCAGCCGCAACGGGATTTAAGGATATTAAAAACCTTGCATTTGGAATTTTGACCTCTAGCAAGCAGCAGCTGCCCCCAGCTAATGCTAAGCAAGGCTTAGTCAAGGCTCCAGGCGTCAGTGGCATTGGACTAAGCAGCTTGGCACTGCCTGGCATCGGGAATCAGCAGTTGAAGGATAATACTTTGACACCCACACCGCCACGTCCTAATCCCATTTCAGTTGCAGCAGCGCCCAGTCCAGTTCGATTCGCAACATTTGCGCCAACTTCTGATTCATTGTTAAGCACACAAAAAATAACAACACCAGCACAAAAAACACACACCGTTGCACACACACAGCCACTGAGTAAACCAATTAACCAATTTGCATTTCAATGAAACTTAAACTAATTTAAAATTCAATAATCAATAGGTGTTAAGTCAGTTCAACAACCAATCAGTACAGTTGGCAATGCGGCAGCTCGACCAGCCGTGACAGCGACCCAGCAACAACAACAACCAACGCGTAAGTTATGACACCAATCAACTACTCGTTAAGTTTATTTACTCTTACAAATATTCACAGCACTAACCGGGGCTCAGCCAAACCAGCGACCGCAACCAGTTAGCAGCAGCTTTGCCAATTTAAAGCCTAGTAAGCCTAGACACATACCCTTTCGTTAACTCCTATTTATATTTCATATTTTCAAAGACGTAGGTGCAACTCTGTCGCAACCAGCTACAGGCAACTCAGCCAACTTCAAGCCAAGTATGTAATGACTGCTTTATATTTGTTAAGTTTCATTTACTTCCATATATTTACAGCCTTAGGTGGAACTCAGGCTCAGCAGAGACCGCAACCGTCAGGCGGCAGTTTAGCAAGTTTCATACCAAGTAAGCCTAGACAACTACCGTGAGCGTTAAGATATTTTACGTTTTATGTACACTTGCAGCAGCAGCAGTTCAGCCAGCCGTGACAGGAACCAAGCAAATACAACCACCAAGTAGCGGCTCAGCAACTTATACGCCAAGTAAGCGAGTGCAACCAAAATTCCATTCGTTAATTATAATAGCAAACGGTTTGTTTTCAGCAAACACCGCACCGCAGTCAGCAACCAACAAAGCATCGAAGTCAACAACCAGCACAGGAGCGGCTGGAAGTGCTGATCTATCCGGCGACTTGTACAAATTCAAATACCTGCTAGACTACAATGGACACGAGGAGACTGGTAGCCGGAATGGCGATAAGGTGGGCAACTACTTTGCCATCGGCGACGATGCTGTCGAGCGTATAGTCGAGTATATTGCGAACGAGTTCGGTTTCCAGCCGCACATCAGCTGGCGCAAACTGGAGGGAAAAGAGGCATCACTGCCTGCCGAGAACTCCCTGAAGCACTACGAGTTCAAGTGGTTCAACAAGGACTCCGAGTAAAATAATAACTATGCCAATTAGTGACAGATTACATGTAAATAAAGTAAAATGAAGAAAGGATTAGAAAAACATTCGGTTTGTTGTTCTTGAATTGGGTTTCAATTTTTGTTTTGTGTTTTTTTTTTTTTTATTTTTTTTTTTTATTATTATT